GTAAAAATTCTTGAACATCCAAGAATTTCCATGTTCTGAGGCATAATAAATCTTGACGTTTCGTACGATTTGAAAACTTTCAGAAAAATTATGTGACTTTTTCATATTTTTTTCGATGACAGAATCCAAAAATTTACTAAAAGTTCCAGATGTATTCCCCAAAAACAATCCTCGATGGCAGATTACGTGAAATGTTGCGTAATTTTTCTTGAATATTTCTTGAATATTTCTCTCCGTGTGCTGTTTCGCGATTGAAAAGATTTATTGTAACGTTAATTGAGGGAAAATTGAAATAATCCAAAATAAATTCAGTAATAAAAATATGAAAGTCAAAGGGAATTGTAAATTTCATCACAAATATTCTGTAAAAAGATTGAAAAGTGGGATTATTTTGAATAAAATGTTTCGACCTCGCAGGAATGAATAAATAGCATTTGAGAGATTAGCATTCGTTCCACGTGTCGATGGAATCGAGTTCAATTACGTGAAAGGATGAAATCGATTCAATCCTCATTTAATTGATATTTTTCCATCACCCTGTGCAAAAAAAAACCGCGAGTTTATAAAAACGATTTCCGTCATACCCACACGAAAAGCTCGATTTTCCTCCCCAAATGACGGGAAGAAAGTGGCCTATTCTATCCCTCAGATTTCCGTTATTTTTGATGATCCTCGGGATGACATAAGATTCCTCCTGTCATTTACGAAGAAAAATCGAACTTTTCCGTGTAGTGATGACGGAAAGAACAATGTGCACCGAGGGAGGCTAACAGGACATTCAAACCGGTGTGTTTACCACAGCTTCGTCTTAAAAATCTTCAAAAATATTAAATATCTCGCCAAAAACATTGAATATACGAAATTGGCACATATTATCTATTTACTACTATAGGGGACACGCGGGTAAAACGGGACACTTGCAGAAAAGCGCTGAAATTTTTTTTTTTTTGCCGAAAAATATTTAAGACCGCCTACACGGAGAGAAATATTCCAGAAAAATTACGGAACATTTCACGTAATCCGTCAGCGAGAATCGTTTTCGGGGAATAAATCTAGATTTTTCAGTAAATTTTCGGGTTCTGTCACCGAAAAAATACGAAAAAGTCACATAATTTTTCCGGATGTTTTAAAATCGGACGGAACTTCAATTCTTATTATGCCTCAGAACATAAAAATTCCTTCATATTGAAGCATTTTTACGGAATGTTCCGTAAAAATACCTCCCTCACGGTGACTCATGGCTAGCCGTGAGGCGTCGGGCACATGAGTAATTTTTACGGAACAGATCGTAGAATTTATGTGATGATTCCTTCGCTTGCAGATTACGTGAAATGTTCCGTAATTTTTCTTGAATATTTCTCTCCGTGTATAAATAAATCCGCATTTTTTGCGAATTTAATTTCCCCTTTTAATTATACTGTGGTTTCTTAACCTTTTCTGATTTTTCGATATTCTCACAAAATACGCCATTTAACTTCAATTGCTCATTTTTTGCTTCTGCTCGTGAAGTTCCTTATATAGGAATTCAACATTTTTTTATCAGTCAAGTGTAATAAAATTAAAAAACTGAAATGAACTGAACTGAAAAAACCTGAAAGGCTGGAATGTTGAATAATGGATGCTTACAATCAATTTTTTGCCCTCGTCTTCCATTGAACCTCCTGATTCATCCCATTTTACCCGCATTTGATTTTATGCTGTGTCCCATTTAGCCCCTGCGTTCCGTTTTTCGCGGATGTCTCATTTTGCCCGTGTCTCCCCTATACATATACCCCTATATTTTTGGTGGAGCCAATGTTGGAGACATGTTGGCGATATAAATCTCGACGAACGTGGGAGGAAAATTGAAGTCATTGACATTATCCCGCCATTTTGTGGGTGCAAACGATTCGTGAAGTGGAAGTAGTGGAATTCGTTGGAATGAGGCGTCACGACGACGGGGAAATGCAGCAGCAAATGGAGGAGGAGAAAATGACAGGAAAAATGGAGGCAAGAGGAAGGAAAATGGCAGCTTGCTTCCTATCTCTGCTCATTACGTTCACCTCACAAAGAATCTGGTTTCCTCTTAGCAAATGTCAGTCTTCAAGTTGGCTGACGTTTCGAAAATTCCCTCCACTTGGCGCCAATATATCCCATACTGGCATATGTCTCGAGGCGATATCATTAGCGAAACTGAGTTATCGCAGCGGGTGCCTCTGCAACAACGGTTTACTTTCAATTTCAATTTCATTCCCTCTTTTTTTTTCATGCCATTTCAGGTCTAATGGTGGTTTAATCGAATGTCATGTACAGTTGGTGGGCGAGAGTGATGGGGGAAAGCTCTTGATAAAAGGGAATCAGGGAAAACATGACGGGCGAGCTCGAGGGGAATCCCCAGGGAATGTTATGTGACGTCATGTTGTCGAATTTTCCGCACGATTTGAGGAAACTTACTGAGAATAAAACCGGAAAATTGGGGAATAAAATACCGTGAGAGAAACGACGCGATGAATTTTTGTGGGAGATCAATCGGTTGCATCGTTTAACTTCAAACATTTCGATACAGTTTTATTTATTATTCGATATTCTCAGAGATCATACGACATTATGATGATTTACCCAAATTAGGAGGAAGAAGATCAATCTACTCAATTATTTATTATCAAATTGAGGTTTAGCCTTTTTTTGAGAGAGAAAAATTTCGGTTCAACCCCAGGAGTTGGATAACGATAGAACAGAGGGCACGTCATCCTGAAGCTTTTGTCATTTCCATTTGCTGGCATCCATTTTGCCTGGATTTTCCATCTCCATAGCCAATGGATGCACCCGAAAGGTCGTTCATCTGCCTTTTCCCTTGTTGGAGTAATAAAAAAAGAAGAGAATTGAGATCCTTTGACTCTCATGTGTGAATCCGATGAGTTCACATGTGCATTCAACCGTCGTGGCCTTTCTTCGCTGCAATTAATGACTCAATTACGAGGATATGTTCGCTTGTACTTTGTCACAGGCACAATTTGCGTTAATTATCTCATTCATTTTCTCATTTTTTTTTTATCACTCACGAGTGCAAGTGGGTAAATGTTGGTTTTTTAGAGGGACACGACCAAATAGACGAGAAAATTCTACCAGAGGTTGAAGAAAAAAAATATTTTGCTGTCCTCGCTTGAAAAATACAAGGAGAGGAACCCTTGAAAAAGTTTAGATCTGTTCAAGAACATTTTTTGCCGATTTGTGTCAATACGGGAAAGTTTGAGCACTTTTTTTCGAAGAATTTCTCTTTATGTACAGCACTAATATTAGAACAATCGTTTCATTATTTCTTCAAAAAAAAAAAAAAACAAACCTCTTCTGAAATAAAATTCACCAATTACCATTTTCCAACTCAAAAATTCCAAGTATAAAATATATAAATAAAAAATTTTCAATCGAAAAGTTCCGTTTTCGGAATTAATAAATTACCATTCCAGTTACGGTTTTTGAATTGATAAATTATTATTTTGGAATTTATCAATCACATCACACAAGGAAAAATGAAAAAAAAAACAAAGTGGTTACCAAAAACATAAAAACAGATTCTCCGCGTACTCACGCATAAATCCGCAAGTCCCTCCTGTCCTATCCCTCGAAGTCCAATTTTTGAAGGAAAAAAAAACCAAAAAAGGTGGAAAAGTATGGAATGAACGGAAAAATGCGACGGGCTTCTCCGGTCGCCCATTGAATTTGTGTTCCCAGGCTGCGAGTGCGCCACACAAGTGGGAAACGTTCACGTACCTGACGCCGACCTTCTGCGACCACTGCGGTTCGATGCTACATGGTATCGCGCATCAGGGACTCAAGTGTTCAGGTACAAAACTGATAAAAAAAACCAGAGGATCATGCGTAAATAACCCCCCCAAAAAAAACAAAAAAAAATCATCCGAGGCTGCTTGAATTGTCCACCGATTCAGGAAAGCCCCGTGAACTCATGGGCTCGTTATTTCCACTATTCTCCCTCGTGAGGACAGTATTTTCCATTTTCATGGGATCGTACAAACATCCATTCCATCAATACGCGTTTGTCAATCACAGCCTCAGCCTTGGAAACAAGTAATCGGAACGACACCCGAAAACAAAAATATCTATTGAAAAAATTTCAGAGAAAAAATTCTTTCTTCGTCTATTCAAAAAATGTTTTTCCACAACATCATGTGATTAATGTATTTTGATTATTCCCATGATTTCCTGTCAATGTGGACTGATCACCCCAGGCTTGAACCTCTCACTGCTTTTTTTATTCTATATGAAAGTCTTTACTAGTTTTTTTGTCAATTTACTACTGATTTTTGAGTGAATTAGTGAGTACAGAAGATCTGGAATAAAATAAATTTTGCTTTTTGTTGTGTCGTCCGAGCATCAGCACTCACCTTAATTTCAATCATTAATTCGAGTGCAAAATGAAATGATGTTGGCGTTATTGGTTAATAATGGACTCTCGTTTGTTGAATGTTTCTTTTGCACTCGTATCAATGACGCATCACGCATAATTTCGACGCAAAGCATGAGTAACCATTTGATCACGCATTTTAACATTTAATTACACGGAGGAACTTCGATCACGTATTCAGATTACGTACCTTCACCAGCTGTTTATATTTTTCAATTCATAATAACATAAGTATGTAAATTATCTGTATTTTCTGTCACTTGTATTCCGAATTTCATGTAATTTTTAAAAAATGACAATTGATTTTCCATTTTTGTCAGTTATTGTTGAAGCGTATGCACAGAAAATTAGTGTAATGTTGATTGTTGATTTATTTATGACGATGGCAGTTGGAGTTGTCCCAGTTTTGCCTTTTTCCGTTTGAGTTGTTCTGTGCATACGTGAGAGAACTCCTGGTATTCCCAGAGAAATTAAAGTAAAGAGGGGAATTACCATGAAGAGCGAGTTGTGATGGTAGAAGTAGAAGACTTGAAGTGGCCTGATGTTGGCCACAATTTTTGTTTCAATTTTTTAATGAATTTTATCTGATGGTACTTAGCATGTGACATGAACGTTCACAAGAGGTGCGAGGAGAGCGTGCCCAATCTTTGCGGATGCGATCACACCGAGCGACGAGGCCGCATAAATCTCAACATTTCCTGCGCGGGAAACAAACTCAACGTAGAAGGTATTTTATCATGGCATTGAGATGTATTATTCTTGAACTTTAGGCCCACTTGATCCATTACATTTCACCCAAATCATTTGAATTGATCCAAAATTTCAGGTCCTCGTCATTTTGGGTCATTTATGTTGGAATTGCGGCATCAATTGCCAGATTTTTAATTTTTACAC